GCGGAGGGGCGGGGCTAGAGGCTGGGGCGCTGGCGGGTGGTGTCGTAGGAGCGAACAACCTGGGACTGGGACACCACGCCGTGCTCCTCCTGAGAGAAGGCGTAGCCATCTGAGGAGACAGAAGGACGGACGTGAAATGAAAGACAGAAAGGCCAAAAACCGTAGAATCACTACAACAGATGTTTATGAGTTTTGCACGACACAGTAAGATATTTACTCCATCCTTTACTTTGGTATTTGGATCATTTTCATAAACAGCTGCGGCGTGGCGTGTCCGTTCGTAAACCTCGAACGCTTAGAAGGTGAAACGCCGTGTTTCACACTCAGGCCTGATTGGTGCAAGAGTATTTGGCATCTAATGACACCCATCCATAAATGTCAAATGCAGACGAGTGTGTTTAGAGTGGAAGTGGGCGGCTGGCCCAAATGCAGCGGGCCACAGATGTGTACCAGGGGGGGAAAAGGAAAAGTTTGAGGGTTTATTTTTAATTCTTTTGGGAAACAGGCGATGTAACATCAGACGCCTGTGACGCAGAGCATTAAGCAGCCAATCACAGCTGTCACTGTCATCACAGAGGTATCCATCATCTCTGAATTAGAGCACCAATAAGTCAAGTTCCATATGGGTTTTTTTTTTCTTTTCAACAGTGACTCAAAGACACGATGCTTTTGTGGAATAACCTGGAGCGACTAATGGAATAAATAAGTCTTGCTTACCGACAGCAGATGACAGCTTTGCAGGACAGCGCCAAGTCCAGGAAGGCCTGTCGGAGCTCGAAGGACAGGGCGTATTTCAGCGTCTGACCATCGATGATCAGCGCTAACTCGTTTTCCTTCTTCAGAGAGTCGCCCAGCGACGAACAGTGAGCTGTGAGAGTGGCACGAGTCGCCTACAAGGAGACAGAGACATGGACATTTATCTGATTAGTTACTTCTTCTTAACATAAACTTTTACTACTGTTTTTTTTTGTTTTTTTTAAATCAACCGTCTTAGACTTCACCGAATGTTTGATGAAACACTTTTGGCTTCGATTAAAATCCTAAATCTCCCCGCCTGCCAAGCAAGTGACACAAATCCTTTTACAGTCTTACAGCGAGTCCTTTTTAAGTGAGCACATGTCCAAGTTTTACATCAGCGTGGGACACTGCGGCCTCTACAGGGGCGAAAAAACAACACACGGACCAATTTGTTGAAAGGACAAAACCACCAATGATAAATGGGAGACATATGGTCCTGTCTGCGCAGCCTGCTTTCATCTGTGGGGGGACTTGGCTTCTGTATAAACAATTTCCAAGGCCAATGTGATGTTCGCAGTTGTTCTAGAAAATCACGGCAAAACGACGATGGTGCGGGATCCAGAGGACGACCGTGAATTCCTGCACAAATCAGTAGCAACAGCCAAATCAGGAAAAAAAACCTGAATTCCTGCACAAATCAGCAGCAACAGCCAAATCAGGAAAAAAAAACAAAAGAGAGTGAGGACAGAGAAGGACAGAGAGAGGAGGTGGAGGAGAAGGGAGTGTGTCTGAATGTTAACCTTCCTGCAGGCAGACGATCTGATAAAACTCTTGACAACAGAGGCACAAGGGTTAACAGTAGGGATGTCCGATGTTATTGGCCGACCGATATTATCGGACGATGTTAGCTTAATTTTGTAATATCAGTAAGAACCGTTATAGAACGCACCACTGCACACAATAAAATGTGGACTCTCCCTTTAACTCAAACAGCTGCATATATAACTATTAGTTGGAATCAGAAGTTTTTGGACAACATCGGCAGATCAGATATCAGCGAACAGTTAATATCAGACATCCATAATTAATAGAGAAAATACATGGAGATGTGATGAACTTCATGTGGAGGATGAGCCGTGCTACACGTTAGCAGTGAGTCTTCACTGACACATTAAACACCGCGGCTCACTGTTACACAGTGCATGTGTGCAACAAAATCCCGTGGCTCTTCTTCTCGCCAAATAGCGATGCATTCATGCCTCCTGCTCTTGTTTTCTCAGCCCCAGGCTGTGTGTTTTCTTTTGTATGCCGGAATTCCTGTTTGCATTCACCTTTTTCCCCAAACAGGGCAAAGGAAAACAAAAACAGAAAGAAGGGATTAAGGAAGATTACAGGTTGTCAGAGCTGCGGGACACAAAGGCCCAGTGTCTGTGTTCAAGTGTGTGAAGTGCATGTGTTTTTACAGTGAAGTGAAACGTGTACGCACCACTGTGTGTGTATATGTGTGTGTGTGCACGTCAACATGCTGCGCACATCTGTCACAGCGTGAGAGAGATGTGAATCTGAACGACTCTTATCGTTTTCTCTGCTTGTCCTCGGCCCATCACAGAGGAATGAACACACACACACACACACACACGTCCTCAGCAGTGTTGACAACACGTAGGTGAAAACTGATGTAGGTTGTACTAAAGTGTGAAAACCACACTAATCTGGAGAAAAGTGCTGTCATCTAGTGTTTGTCAGGAGGACACATTAAAAAAAAAGAAAAATACAGAAAGGTGAGCTGATTCTTGATACCTGAGAACATGTTTGAGTGTTGGAGACATGCACGGCATTTTAACTTTATTTACTGCATAACAGCTGTTTTGTTGGTACTGATAATAAAGCCAAAAAGTTGTGTGTTTTTTATACATTAGATCAAAAAGAAAAAAATGTAAGAAATAGTAATTTAATAAGATTTATTTTAAAAAATACCCAGAAAAATATAGTTAGGCACGGTTTAACAGAAATGAATAAAATTGATTTTTTTATTTATTACAATAATAATTGCTTTATGTCAGTGGAAACTGCAATAAAATGTTAAATGTTCATGAATATAATCACATTAAAGCCACTAACCTTAAAGGTACTGATGATGGACTATTAAATATAATGTCAAGATAAACTTTGTAAGTCTAATTGAATCTGTCTGAGTTCCACAATCTGCCACAAAGACAGAGAAACCCGCCACAGTCAGGCCCAGCGAGGGTCACATAAATGGGTCAACACTAGTGTGAATGCAAACATCCAGCAGCTTAGCATCAATGTGCTAATGCACCACAGGGACTTGTCACAGCAGGCCCTGGTCTAAGCTTCAACCAGGGATAATAACCAGACTAATGAGACTGCAGGAGGATTAAAAAGGTAACTAAAGTGCAAACATTAGTCGGCTCCTAAAACTAACCGTCGAACAGTTGGACTCAATTCTGCAAGTCCAGGCCCGACAGCATCCGCCTGACAAAGGAGTGGAGTCTTAGGATGAAAAGAACCAGCTGGGTCCACTGTGATCTGTTAACGCTTTCAAAAAAAAAAACAAGAACAAACACAAGGCTGAGGAAAAAAATTGCTCGACTGTGTAGTTTCCACTTTTTCTCACGCTAAATTACCTGCTATTTTTGGAGGAGAACGGCAAAATTCTTTGAGTTTCGTTATGACAGATCTCGTTAGCGGGCATTTATAAAAATCCAAACTAAATGTTTGTTTTCCACGTGGAACTGAGTTCAGGAAGGGCAGAAACATTTTAGCACAAACATTTGTAAACCGTGCTCACAGGCCTGCGGTCTGTGTGGAATTTTATCAGGTTTATATTTGGATCACACAGATGGGCAGGGCACGGAGGCACTTCTGAGATACGGCAGGCCACCTTCTTTGATTGCACACTTCACCATAAAATGCAGGAGAACAAACACACACACATCTGTCTCTCGCTGGCTCGTCATCCTGTAGATACACGTACGTGTATACATATGTACATATATGAAGGTAGGAAAGATGGGAAACGCCAAAGGTTGATGTGTTCCAGGCCATAGAAACCCCCTACAGTAACAACAAACGCACATAAACAGTGTGAAATGTCCAACAAAATGAATGGGCAACGCTACAGAGAACTGGAGATCAAGGAGTTGATAATAAACGGAGCACTTTACGACCATCGTACACAGACGTGGCTGTATATTCCCTAAACGTGTTTCCACTTTAAAGGTACTATTTGTGTACACACCTCCATACACCTGACTGTTTATAAAAAAAATAATCGGTTCCATGTGCATTTTTTAACGCCTTCTGGTAATACTGTTGGACTGTCTGGCAGTTTTATACTTTTACACAAAGAAATGTGCAAAGTCAGACGTTTGTGCTCCACTGCAGGTCACGTAGAGAACACATAATCACTGACACCTTTCTGCATGACCAGAAACTACCATTATATACTTATTTAGCCTCTGCTAGTTCAAGAAAAGAGAAAGGAAGGAGAGGTAAGAACAGAGAGAGCGCATAGTTCTCCAAAAATAAACTAAACACTGATGATGCCAAAAATATGTGCCGGTAAATCAGCCATGGTTGTACCATAAACACCACGGTTGTCTGAAAGGGAAACCATCAGCGTGCTGACAGTGAGTTCCACAGAGGTGACGGTGGTGGATTTTCAGTTCTCTTACTTCTGAAGGAACCCACGTCTCCAAACTGGAGCATTGCTCCGGAACCGCAGGATGTAAAAAACGGAGGCGTTAACAAACATGGCGTGTGAGAAGAGCGCCAGAGAGTGAGAGGAGGAGAAGGGAAGGTGCTGAGAGTCATATCTGAGGAGCAGATTCTGTCACTGATGAGATTTAATTCACCGTTTAATTATCAGACAGTGCATCTGTGCAAACACCCACATCCTCTGCTGCCCAGTCACGCACACACACACACACACAGAGAAACAGATGTGGTGTGTGACTGTAGGGGTCTGGTGTACTAAACCTATTATAAACTGAAAAAAGCCAAAACAAAGAAGCACACACCATGATTTACTACAATCTAGTACACACACACACAAGCCAAAAACACAAGTTTCCTGTGTGTGTGTGTGTGTCAGTGTGTAAAGATGATGAATGAGCAGACGATGATGGTGTTTGTTCAGGACTTGTACTGTGGGCAGAGGGGGTTTGTGGGAAAGTTCGATGAGATGTACATTTGAAAAAGAAAAAAGCCATCATCACTGATCAGGAGGGGGGGGTTACTCATGTGCTGTTGCATTCTGGGAAAACCCAGTGTGCAGACAATCATGTGTTTAAGAGTGGACAGAACAGGAGTTTGACTGAGGGAGTGTGAGTCTGTGTGTGGCTTCAGCTCTGACGGCGACAGATGGCACTTGTCACAGCCTCACAGAGCGTTTACCCAGGAGGCATTGCTTATAGGGTTTGTTTGGATGCAGAGGAGCACCAAAAGGAGATCACATTACCCTCACTCATCACCCTCACATGGCTCAGCCACAGACCCCCCTCCACCCCCCCTGACTCTCCTTCTATCCAGCTTGTCCATCTCTTACTTGAAGTACAACAAACATTCCCTCTGCTTTGTTCACAAACATACTCCCGCTCCTCCAAGAAGATAAACACCACACTTTGTTGTTGCTGCTCTCCATCTGAACCACACACACACACACACACACACATACTTTAGAAGTCACACACCACAGACCGTGCGTACTGACTTCCTGTGTTCAGAGAGGGTGCTGACAGATGTGGAGGTAGTGGTGTGAGGAAGACAAGGTGCGGAGAACCAGGCTGTGGTGGGGTCGTCCCCACCGTCCAGGACCTGCCGCTGACAGCAGAGAGAGGCTGAGATACACTGTACGCAGGACGTGTTATTTAAAGACGAGGTGCGGAGAGGTCAGCTTTGAGGTGAGATTGCCTTTTAAATCAAAGGGAAGGTAACACTCTTAAAACAAGCCCAGGAGAATGAAGAGGCTGAGGAGGCGCAAGTTATTTTAAGCCTGAGAGTTTTTTCACCCAGGAGGGTCGCTTTCATCCAGACCGACCGACGGTTACCGTCAGTGATCCCTGGAGCTGTTGAAGCACAACACCGCCGTTCATTCCTGTACGTGACAGATAACGTTTCCTTTGATGCTTGTCTATTTGTCTACTTCAACATTTGACTGACTTTGATCAACAGGAGCCTTGTCGACGTGAGGATACCAATAATCTGACCTGACCTACAGAATATGATTTAATGTCACACATACATTAGACCAGTGTCAAACCTTTGACCCAATTCAATAGACATGATTCGTAAACTCCTGAGAAACATGATGCAAGACGACCCCCCCAAAAAAATCTCTTGCAACCCACCTGAGGGTTGCAAGAGATTTAGAACCACTATATGTGGTTCATTTGTATAACTAACACAGGGTAGTGAAAATATTAGAATTATTCCTTTTAAGCTACCTTGCTAACAGCTAACATCGCAGCCAACATCTAATCCTTAGACTGAATAAAGGTCCAACTGAACGAGACATACTTCAGTGTGAGCTCATAGATTCTCAAACCAGGACAGTTGTTCAATTCAACGGTCCAATAAACGGACTTTACTGTGCGTGTAAACGTACGGCGTTGTTTGCCAAGTTGTTTATTCTTTCTCGTGATTGGCCGTCACATCCACTGTTTGGCACTGAGGTTCAGACCAGATCATTCACACTCACTTATTTCATGTCAACCAGCTGTTCTGTCCTGCTGAGATCTTTATTCCTACACTTCCCTCTCAGACTCGGCCTTCGCTGCGTGTTCGTCCCAGTCTGCTGCAGAACGGCTGCCTCCTGCCGTTGGTGAACACTCGAAATCTTGCTCAAGGACAAATAAGAATGACGGACTGTTAGCGTTACGGTGAAGTGACGCCAGACTTCCCAGATGAAAGACGGAACGCACACTGTGACTTGTATTTAACTGGTCATTTACTTTTGGCAGCAGTGGCGTCATCAGTCCTTCAGCTGTAGATGATGTTGTAGAATATGTCTTTTATTAACAGGCTTTCTGACTGTCCTCGACCGAGCAAAGGTGGACGGCGGGAGAAAATAAACATAATCACCTGTTGGACCCAAATGTTTCCTTCAAATCTAGATTACAGGGTCCGGGGAGCATTAAGACTTCTGAAGTATTTACGTCAGCTGCAGAACATGCACTTCAACGCTGCAGACAAGCTGCTAATAAAATCTTCCTAACTGTATTAGCATGATCGACCCGCAGCACAAACTGTATTGGGTTTCAGCCACTTGTGCTCGTTATATACGTAATTCTCAGTACCCAGTATGATTAACCTTCAAACAGTCCAGCTCAATACAGCATCTACTGTATGTGGCCGTGCAGACTGTTTGGCCTTTCACCAGAAAGTCTGGGAAGTTTCAGGTACTTCAGCTTTGATGCACGAAAAACGGGTAAAGTTACACAACATTTATTTTTTACTGGCAGCTGGCAGATTATAAAAAGTTTATCAGCTACATTTAAAATAGAACCATAAAAAATAGCTTCATAAATGTTGCTACCAGAGGTCTGAGGTCACATGGTTTACACTAACAATCACCAACATCTGCACTAAGGCAATGAGAAATGTTAACTTTTCAATCTCTACATCGGAGTTTAAAACACACTTTTGGTCGACAAACAGTTTCTCACACACGCACACACTGAAACCCATAAACAAATACACACAGGCACGCACACAAACACGAAAAGGGAGGGGATGGGGGGGGCTACACTTAAGTTTTATGGACCATAATCTTCCTGGTCCCACGCAACAAACAAACTCGGTGAAAGTGAAACACTATGATTTGGTGTGTGTTTGTGTTCTGCAGGGCCAGCACGTACAGTACAGTACAGTACAGTACAGTACAGTACAGTACGTCACGTCTGTGTGTCAGACACCAGGGCAGCATGACAGCCATATTAGACAAAGTCACGTCCAACGGTGAGTTTCACTATAATGTAATCAACGTGAAAATCAAATCAGGAGTCGAAGAATGTCTCAGATCTCAGCCTGACGGGAACTTAAATATACACGACCCGTTAGCACTGACAGCCTCCGTGCTGGTCTGGGATTAAATCAGTCCTTCACATGCAGACAGCAGCAAACACGTCTGTTTACACCTGGCTTCAAAGTGCATCCTGGATGCTTTTCCTGTGACCACTTGAGATCGGATCTGGCTTCAAATACGCACTGACGTCATGTCTGTTCACGAGAACAAAATGGTCTTTTAATGAGTCTGATTGTACGGCTGGGTGTGATGTCACCCTGTCAGTGTGTTGTTGTTGTTGTTGTTGTCATTACAGTCACGGGGGCTAAAAATGAACAAATTAATGAGGAATCACCTTTAAAATATCACAATATTACAATATAATACAGTGGAACCTCAGTTGCAAAACCTCTCAATTATTCCATTTTACATTGATTCCTATCTGGAAAATTGTTTCACTTTTCAAACTTTTTCTCAATTATCCCATTTTACATTGATTCCTATCTAGAAAATTGTTTCACTTTTCAAACTTTTCAGTTTAAAAACGGCCTTTAGGAACAAATTAAGTTCAAAAACTGAGGTTCAACTGTGTTTATATTTAAACGTAAAGAACAGAAAAGAACCTGAGTAACACAGAGGTTTTTTTTTCTTCCTAGACAGCAGCAGCTCCACATCATTAATTCCATTTGTGGATGACTTCATATGGAGTCTAACTCCATGTTTTTAACAGACCACAGTCCAGATCTCTGCTCAGAGATCAGTCAGTGTGTGATCAAATCACTCCAGATACCAGCTGATACCAGCTCTGAACGGGTTCCAAATTTGACTGAGCGCAGGTTCAGACTAGGACCAGACTACGGGATGAGTGAAAGCCAAGGACTGTATGTGGATATAGGTGAACGAGACAGAAGAGGAGGGCAAGAAGTGACATTTCAGAGCTCTCCTCTTTTCAACCTCTTTCTCCAGAGGGACACCAGAGACTTTAATTACCTGCAGATGTAAGCACACAATGAGCCCCACCCACCAATCTGCCAGGGGAGGGTACCACACCCTGGTTCTCACGGTAAACCTCCCAAGAAGGTAACCCCCCTCCCCCCCCTCACACACACACACACACACACCCCTGCCCCATCCCTACAGCTACTGTAAATGGACAAACATACGAAAAAAGATACTGTAGGTGCACAAAGAGGAAAAAGGGGGGAGAGGGAGGAAGAGGAGGATCTACTCACGTCCAGGGAGTCTTCGTTGACGATGATGAGGGACATGCCGTGTGTCACCAGGCGACAGGAGTAACCTGAGAAAGAGAGAGAGGAGGGAAGAGAGTTAGATTTACCCACGGACCCTAAACACAGCTGAAAAACTGTTTCACACATTCTTCAACTGATCTGCTGCACAAACATGGAGACACGCTGAATCACCAGCAGTCAGTGGAGACACTGGTCCAGGTGTAAACAATCTTTATCTGTACAAACACTTTACTTCTCTCACCACAGTAGGAAGAGAACCCTTCACTGATCTCTCTGTGTCCTGAGCATTGAGATATTTAAGATCAACTTTAATAAATGTTAGAACATTTTTGTCCACTTATGTTTTTAGGTTTAACAAAGGTTAAATTTAAATATTTACTTTCAGTATTTCTTACTCAAAGTTTTACAACACAGAAGTAAACGTCAATAAATCGATTACTGCATGTTTCAACAATTTAATAATTTTACACATATGATGATAATGATTATAGTTTTTACAGTGTCAGCAGTGGGAGGAATAATTAATCATCAACGACACCTGTTTGCAAAGAAAAAAAACCTCAGGTTTTTTCCTCTTTAACGCCCTCTCCATAAAAAGCCACCATGGCGTGACATTTAAACCCAACGGATGTCTATAAAAACACAGGAGCTGGTGCAGCATTTGGTACGGCCCTGCTCTGAGTGTGGTCTGTTGATTAACGCTCCCTGTGATCCACGCTGCCACCACTACGGTGAGACACCAAAACAAACACCTGATGTGGCGAACACACTTTAAGATCGGAGGGAAAATGTGTCTGTGGTGATCTGACAACACAGCTGTAGTGATGTGACCAGGTCTGTGAAACTGAAGCAGGAATTCTTTGGTAAAATCCTAATTTGGCGTGTCCTGGTCAGAGAGTAAAGAATTTGGATAAAAATTTTTGGGGAAAAAAAAATTCAAAATGTTTTCTTTTCTGCATGTTTCTTTCTCTTTCTTTCTCAAATTGGAGAATTTTAAGATATTTTTTAGAAAGAGTTTTTGGGGGGAATTCTTTGGTAAAATCCTATTAGGTATTGACAGTGTTTTTGGGGTGACATTTATCAGCTGCGAACTTCCTTTTTTAAAGCCGGGTTAAATCCAGTGGGCCAGTGTGACCACTGAAGACACGTCAGTCATTTCAGCGTTCCTGGATTCACTCTGTCATCTCGAACCTTGGACTCTTCATCGGTACCACTGCTTCCTTCTCACCTATGTTGATGGCTGTCTCCTGCTTGTCCCCCGTCAGCACCCAGATCTTGATGTCTGCCCTCATCAGAGTGGCGATGGTCTCTGGAACGCCAGCCTGGAGACGGTCCTCGATGGCAGTGGCTCCCAGAAGCAGCAGGTTCTGATGATGATAAAAGTGGAAACAGACCCAAACATCTGTTTACATCATCATTCTCACCTAAATGAAGAACCCGGTGATTCACAGACAGTTCGGGTCAGACCGTGTGCCGACACAGCACCCATTACCTTCCTCTCCTTCTGCTTTAATTTGTTCAACATTTAATTGCACATGTTCCCTCATTAGACAAACACGGGCACACGAACACCGACAGACACACAGGTTAACACTACTGTGTTGTTGTTTCCAGTTTAATGGGGCTTTTGGCAGGCTGTTGTAGGTAATTACCCCTGTGGTCTCCTCGTCTGAACTCCTCTACTCCTCCTCCTCCTCCTCCTGCTGCTTCCTCTTTTCATGCTCTTCACTGACTTCTCTCCCCTCACTCCTGCACTAAATGACTGGGATCTAAAGTGTGTGTGTGTGTGTTAGCATACTGGAGGGACAGCGTTATTAAAGTGGACACACACACTAGTCAATATTTGTTTTCAATTTAGTCAACTGAAACTCAATTTGGGTATAAATAAGCTCCGTGGGATGTGAGACAGGTTCTGGGAACTGATAGATCCACTCTGCCACCTGCTGGTCAATATCAACTGTAGCTGTGTGAGCAGCAGGGACTTAATCAATAAACACTTTAGTTTGACATGGGCTTCCAAAGATCATTTTAACCTCCAGCTTCCAGCCAATCACAGCCACCAGAAGAAAACTCACTTTACTAAAATGAGTGAAAGTGAATTCACCTTTTCCAGAAGCTCGTAGCACTCCTCCAGTTTCTGAGCGCGGTCCTTGATTATGGTGCTGACCTGGTTGTACTCCTTCAGCCACTCCTGGTAGGCGTCTTCCTCCAGGTCCACATAAGCGAAACACAGCGTCCTGAGGCCTGAGTGGATGAGATTCAAAGTCAGACAATCAATCAGTGTGTGTGTGTCTGGAAAGAGAAATAAATCATTGTAAAGTGTGAGCGAGAAGTAGACGCAGCGGAGGAAACCAGAGCCAGTGGGTCTGATATCATTTCAACCGAAATCCGTGGAGGGATCTGGGGCAACGTCAAGTCCTAAAACTAGGATTTATTAAATGTTTTAGATGAGATTAGGAAGCAGTAACCAAACAGCGGCTCCAGGAGGACGGGGAGGAGGGACAATTTTTGTCAAAATGATGGGTCCTTTGTGTCCTATAAAAGACATTACACTTTACCATTTCCAAAATAGTGACTCAGTTGATTCATGAAAATAACAAATGTGATTGTTTTTAAACCAACAAGAAAAAATAACTCAAAAAAATAAAAATACTTAAACATCGCCCATGATTCGCGAAAAACTGCAAAGCAGAGACGCCATAGTTCTTATATTATTTACATTACACCCTTTAGGAGGCAAACATAAAAATAATTTCTGGCATAGGGCAACAGTCAATACTACATGGAGAATCAATGACTTAGTGACGGTTCATTTTTCAGTAACAACATCAACGCAGAGAAAATGGAAATCACTGTGGGGCAGAATCATCTTTACACCGTTTCTTACCTTCTGTTGCAAACTGTTCAAGATGGTTAACAGTCAGGTCTTTGTACTGAGACGCCTCCGTCAGACGTTCAAATATGACGTTATCCTGCAAAGAAATAAGTGAATGTGAATGTGAATTTGAAGGTTGTAAGAACAGAGCGAGTCCACAAACGATAATGAGATAAACGTACAGCTCCTTTGCAGTAAAGCCGCAGCTTCCCGTTGGGGGTCCTCACCACCACAGACATACGTTTACGGTTACTGTAACGGAAGCAGCGAGGTTCAGGATCTTAGGGTCTCATTTTATCGCAGAAATATTTATAGACAGTTGGAAACATTTATGTGACTTTTACCTGGAAAACTCCAGGACATTCAGCAGCTCGTAGCTCATTTCTTTTCCTCTCTGAAACAAAACACCACAAAAAAAGAGAGAATAATTAGAAACATACGGTGTCCACTCATTACACGGGAAAATGTATTTACACAAAGAGTCTTTGTAGAAAATGTGTTCGAAATGTAAATTTCAAGAACAACACACACGTACAGCGTCAATGATGACAGAATCAGGCGTCCTCACAGTGAACTCAAAGCCAAGTCCTTTGGCCCCTTTCACCAGAGCGCTCTCATCAGGCGAGGATGCCTGGTAGATGATCTGGTCGCCGTCCCTCTCTGGCACCACCGTGTGACACACCGCCATCATGGTCAGAAACTCGCAGATCTGAGGTGATGTAGGCTGAAAAAAAAAAAATTTACAGCAAAACCAGAAAGATGTATGTTTGGAGACATAGAAATATGACGTAGTGTCACCCACATGGTTGTTCTCAATGTTTTGAATAAGTGTTGGATCGTCGAACTCTGTAGAGTTGTGGTTGTTGGACGGCAGATTACTGTGGGACAGAGACAAATAAATATTCAAACATGCCGTCAGTAAACCCACTCCCTGCTGCGGCTCCAATCAAAGACATGCACACTACAGAGAAACAGGGATTATCGTGAAGACGAGGTGGACGTCAGGTACCTGAAGTCCTCCATTGAACGATCACAGTCAAGATCAGGAAAGTGGCTGCAGGTGATGAATGAGGTTGGATTACAAAGAGAATTAATTCAGAACCAGGTGATGATTATTATTATTATAGGTTGATTAGCACATTTGTAAAAGAATGGAAGAGTGAGATTTTTTTTGTCATTAGTATATTAAATATTTTAAAGATAAGATTAAATAGAAAAGAAGAAGAAGTAGTTTATTGACCCGTATGTTATTCCTGCGATGGTACACTTCTTGAAGTTCATGACGTTGCAGGTCAGTGTTCCCGTCTTGTCAGAAAACAGATATTTCACCTGGAAAAGACAGAGACATCAGTGGTAATGAGGTGAAGTGACGTTCAGGATGAAGTGAGAGCTCAGATCCTGTTCGTCCTGAACTGACCTGACCCAGTTCCTCGTTGAGATTTGACGTGCGAGCCATGGCTGGTGTGTCCGTCTCTGAGTAGTACATCTCAATGTCCTGAGAGCGAAAGAAAAGATACACGTTAAGAAGGTTGAGTCAGTATTTAGTTTGTGTACCACTTCTACCACATCGTTTGCTTTACCCAGTTTATGAAGAGCGCCTGTGTGAACTTGACCACCTCCAGTGTGACCAGCAGGCTGATGGGGATCAGGTTGTTGTACAGGATGATGAACGTAAGCAGGTTGTAGGCGAAGTTGGTGGAGATGTCGCCTGAAAGAACACAGATTTTTTTATCCATCACGATTTCTGCTCGAATCCACAGTCTTCATCATTAGGAGGCAGTAAATGGCTGCGTATTTAAGTATGTTGCAGAGTCGTGATCTCACCAGCCCTGGACAGGTACCAGCAGTTATCTTCAGTGTGTTCTCTGTTCCAGATGGCAGCACCGATTGAACTGACAAGAGCCATGACCAGCAGGATTCCAAACAGGACCAGGATCTGCATGTTTGTTACTCTCTCCACATTAGAGCGCTTCAGGGGAGCCTTAGTGGAATTCTGGGAAGGTAGTGAATTCAACAAATGAGAAACACACGTGTACATTTGGACTTTTGTTCCTGAACAGAAGAAAACACCGTGAAATGAACTCCTCAACATTAAATTTTCATTATAAAGAGTTGCCTTCTATAAAGTTTAACATGAAAAACATTCAGACAGTTTGTGGAGACTGAATTCACCTGCATGAGTTTAGAGTCATGGCCTGTGTACACTACAATTCCCACAACCCACTGGGTGTTCCTGATCTGAGCTCCACGTAGCAGCACCTGGTCTGGGCCGAGAGGGACAGCACTGAGGAATAAAAAAGAGACAAGCAGAAAAAAACATATGAATATGTGAATTCAGACAATAATCAAGTTCACTGTGTAAACAAAACAACAAAATAACAACATGACTATATGTGTGGTGCTCACTTGTGGTTCTCCAGCCTCAGTGTGCCGGTGAAGTCATACAGGTGTCTGTTGGGTTCTTCACACTCCAGTCGACCCGCCAGCGCCATCAACTCCTCCAGAGTCTGCATGCCAGCTGTGAGTGTGAGTCCCTGCAGCACAGAAACCACCAGACACAGAAGGGCAGAACAAGAATGATGAGAGAGACAGTCAGACAGATGGACAGAGAGAGAGAGACAGACAGATGGACAGAGAGAGAGACAGACAGACAGACAGATAGAGACAGGCAGACGGACAGAGAGACATACTTGTCTGATTTTTAGGTTGGTTTCTCCGTCCAGGTTCGAGGTCTCAGTGTAACACATGGCCTGTGGCTCACTGTGAATGGGAGTCAGATTAATAATCAACCTTATCTTACTTTCTCATTTTATTTTTTAAAAAATAACACATTTTTCTAAACATAAAACCAAAGGAAGCTAAGATAATCAAACACAGTAAGACAGTGATGTCTGACCTGGAGGACACTATAACCATATCAGCTGGAATGTGCTGGCCATTGGTCACCTTCACAATGTCTCCTACTGCCACCTTGTGGCCAGAATCCAACAACATCAGGCATCAAAGCAGGCGGACGGTGCAGGGGGCAAAACAAAATATGGTTAGTTTAGTTTATAGAACAAACACATTGGTGTATGAAGAAGAGGAGGAGTTAAAAAAAAACTAAGAGAGAGTTCAACACAGTTGAATTCCGGTCACAGATACAAAAAAACAAAAAGTAATGGTATACAAGGTCACAGGACACACACTCCAACCGACAGCAACTTTGTTTTTTAGAAAGTTGCAGACAGAAGGACAATGAGATAAAATCAGCGTGTGGGAGTTTTCATCATCAGGACAAACAGACACAAGCTCAGACACAGCCTGTGAGCTGCACCAGTCCACGTTTCTTCAGGCCGTTCGTTTTAGAGAGCGCTGCATGTACACACACACACACACACATACATGTTCAAAAAGATGAAGCTGATTGCAGTCTCTAACAGAGCACGAGTGCCGTTCACAGCAGACCTGTCTTTGCCTAAAACCTACTTTTAGATAGACACATTGCATGTTCCAGTTTTGAAAAAAAAGAAAGAAAAATTATACAAAAATCCTTACAAATCGGAGTGATAGAGACCAGGAATTATCAACTGTAACAAAAAAGTAATTTAAAAAACAGAGAAAAATGGTTCCACTACTGTACGGTAGCAGAGGGGCAAAGGAGCCGCTTTTAAAAAGAGTAAGTTGAAGACAAAATAAAAAGAAGCGGAATGAGTGTTTCAATAAAAAAAATTGAAATGTTATGACTGCTCGACATCTCTGCTCTGCGCAGACACATTCGCAGCCACCGTCAGGCTAACAGAGCAGAGCAGGGGAGTGAAAGTGAGACGGCACGGGCCTGATGAGTGACACGGCAGCAGAGATGATCTCTGTGTGTCATGTTAGTGATACCTGTTTCCAGATGACTGTCTGCCAGGCTCCGTTCCGCAGCACTGAGAGACAAGGACAACACAGACATCAGTCATCCTATAGAGCAGCTCTCATACAGTATTCATAGAAGCTAATTGAGCTGCACTTTTGTCATGGGCTGCTCTGCCTGCGCTGCAGTGAGTGACAGGAAAGAGCTATTCACTCGGCCGTGAATGGAAAACAAAACCCCGCAAATAGATACAAGCAGAGTCATGGAAAAGTGCAGACACTGGCTGAACACACACACACACACACACAATCAAATGTGCGCAATTAAACATATACACTGTACCTGTTGTCTTCTTCTTGTTGACCGTGTTGTCTGCCTTGTGTCTCTTCTGTGGAGACAGACGGAGACGAGTCAGTGTTTAAGTGTTCTGTCCCACTTCAAAGAAAACTGAAAGCCTGACTCAACTACAGATAATGTTGCTAACACTCTGTGTTGCACTCACATAGTCCTCTATGATCTCTTTAATCCCGGCCACAGTGAGGATGAAGATGAGAGGAACCAGTGTGGTGTAGCGACCGGTCGGTGATACATCAGGGATTTGCTGGGGACAGGAGAGAAATCATTGTTGATGGAAAGTGCTGAGCAGCTTAAGAAATCCATAAAGCAGTCATCACAGCAACTTGTAACTGCATTAAGGATCAGTAAGCAGGATTTTTGGCAACACTGATCAATTATTCTATAATAACCTTTCAGCATCCAGACGTAGTGACGGGACAGAGTCCAGCAGGTCTGCGTCTGATCTAAGCTTCTTCTACTACAACCTCAGAGCTGCGTTCAGTTTGTCAACTCTCCAAGTCATTTCGTCTCAACTCAAACCTCAGATAAAGCAACGTTAACACCATCTCAGCTCAGGATTTCTGCCTCATCAGTTTGTGTTAAACTCAGGAAACCCAAGCTCCAATTTCTGTTCTATATAGAAGCAGTTTTTGTGTATTTCTGAACAGGTCATATAGGGTGATACAACTGTCGTGTCCCTGTGACCTGTGACCTTATTCATGCAGTAATGTCATCAGATCCTAATTCAATCACTGGAATTAGTGATTGAACAATTAGCACCCACATTCACACCTACTGTCCGGTGCACTCAGATTCTTCATCGATTTTCATCCCAAATAACATGTTCTAGGACTAATGGAGGAAACCAGAGAATCTGAAGATAACCAAGAACACACCCATCCACAGGGAGAAACACACACGGTTTCCACACAGGAAAAAACATTGTCTAAGCCAGGAGGCAAAACACTGGTACACTGAATAATAATATGAAATATAATGTAGAACAGTGATTCCCAACCACTGTGCCGTGGCCCACTAGTGTGCCGTGAGAGATCATTTGATGTGCTGTGGAAAATTATATTATTAAAAATTTCACCTAAATTGGGCTGAAAACTATTATTGTTGAAGAGGATCTTTGTGAATTTCTTTCTTCAATTCCTGCCAGTATATCAGCGTTGTCTTCAACTAAATAGGCCATTTAGTCCATTATGAGGTCAATTAATTTAGAAGATTATTATTATTTCATTCCATATACTTTTAGTGAGATTTTTAGTTCGATGGCGTGCCGTGGGTTTTTCCTGAATATATATATGCTGTGGCTCAAAAACCGTTGGGAAACACTGAAAATCCACAAAACACGTATCACAAATTGATGGTGTACAAAGACCTGGATCTGAGTGTGTCAATGTTGTAGTGTACCAGTTTACCTGCATGAGTGCAATGAACAGGTAGTTCAGTGCTGTGGGGTTTACCTGCATGAGTGCAATGAACAGGAAGAAGGCGTTGGCAGCCCGCCTGATCTGCTCATACAGGAACCGGGGCAGAAAGGTGAGGATTCCATACTTGGTGGTGCTGCAGAAAGAACAAGAGCAAGGCCAAAGAGTGCATTAGTCAACCTTGGAAATCCTGAATAAACTGTGCATTAATGTTTTTCTAACCTTATTTGCCCCTTTAGTATCACATTAAAGGCTGAATCAAAAGGGACTGCCTTGGGGGTTTTTAGTCTTGCAGCTCTTGAAAAGCTATTTAAAACACGGTTGTGCCAAGAGAGCGCAAATAAAGCAATTAAGGGCTGCACACACATCACACCTATAAATAGGCCGACACGTTTAATCAAACTGGTTAAATTTAGGGCTAAAGTCCCAAAAAATAGCTGCAAAAAGTTGGCAGCCCGGAGCTGTATGTCAGTCAGCCTCATCGATTAGACAAGTGTATTGATTAGCCTTGATATAGCCAGGAGTGACTGTAAGACCTTTTAGAGGCCAAAAATAAAAAATGTCAACCTTGAAGTCAAGGCCTGCCAGTGTGGCCTGAGTGAAAAGTAAGAGTTGCTGTAATGGCTTTTGTTTAATGGACAGTGTGTGTGTGTGTGTGTTCAAAGTGCATTAAGTGCAGGCACTGAATAGCAAAACACACACTTTCATCACAGTTTAGAATCTCAGAGGAGATGAACCCCTGCCCTTTTTTTCCAACTGCTCGCTCAGAGAGTTACAGAAGTATCAGAATGCAGGACATCGCTCTCTCTCACACACACACACACACACACACACACTCTGCCCCACATCTGATATTCTGCATACAAAAGAGTCACCGATACTACACCGAGGGATAGAGCTACCTTAATCTATTACCTTAATCTAAGACGAGGGACAGGACTCCAAACACGGAGCAATGACACATTTATACTTAATAAAGTGCACAGCATCTGGTTCTTTTCACACTACAGATGTCCGAGCCTCCAAGTTGTGTCAGCAGCTGTAAGCTGCAGGGATGGAGCTCTCCTGCTGCTTCTACGTGACTCTGAAGTGTTATTCTTTCATTGCTTTTAAGGATGGCCCGTTAATCCGTTCAGGTTGTGGTCAGAAGAGACAGATTTGTTGGAACTGCAAGTGTTAAATGTCTGATTCAAACAGGTAACAGAGGAAGAAAGTGATGGATTCGTACACGGCAGAACTGCACCTGCGCTCATGTTGGTAACTGCACACACAGTCAAATAGGACGCGGAGAATGGACAGGAAACAGGTAAAAGCTACAAGGCTTTAATCTCAGGGAGAAAAAGAAAAAATCAATGAGGCTATTGAACCTTTACAACATGGGCTTAAGAGTTACAGGAACACAGGGACATCAGAGGGCACACCTCTGGAACACGCTGTGATGTGATCCAATCAGAGGAGGCGGAGAACGTCTACCTTAATTGTATTTGTCCAGCTTCTTCTATATGTGAAATTGAATCTCTTGACAGTAATAGCAAATTCACTAAATGCCAGTTGACTATAAACAGGCTTTGTGCTCTCTCTACGGCGCCAGCAACAGTTAGAGGATATAAAAAGTGGTGTAGAGATCAGGAGTAAAAAACACATGACAAGATCTGCAGAAACCACATCGCTCAACTCTGGCCTGTTTACTCCCCCCAAAAAAAAGCTTTTTGCTGCCTAATGTGAAACGACACACAAGCAGCTGTTGCACAATGTCGTGTGACAGCTGCACAACAGGAGGAAGTAGAGATGACCCTCTGTTGAAGTGCGCATACATGTCGTGTGTTTGATGCCACAGATGGCCATGACTGACAGAAACTCATTGTTAATGACTCTAATTTAATTTTCTTTTTTTTTAAACCCTTGGCCACTCAACTTCAGCACATTTACCACGTGGTTTCTGTCATTTAAACAAACAGATGTTTGTTGTGCCATTCTTAGTGCTGGCAACCGTGTTAAAATAAACACTGCATATGAAAATAGCTGTGATTATTTAAACAGCAGTCATATAACACAAGCACAATTCAACAGTAATAAGATGATGAATTAAAATGATTAACAAATCAATTAATCTGCAGCTTGAACTTATTTCCATATATATCTCCATTATTATCCCTCTGTTGCAGTTGTAGATCAGGAGAGTTTAGATTTTCAGATCTTTAGCACTTTAGCATGAAGCTGGTTGTCAGAAAGGAGATTAATCTTATGTTTGGATTCAGAGAAAAGATCGCTGCAGGACCAGGATACCCGGCGTGAGAGAGTTTAGATTTACACGTCTCTGATGAAGTCATTGGATAATGTTATAAAAAAAAAAAGAAAACACCTGAATCCAGGTCAAAGGTTATCTATTACCACTGTTGTTTGTCAGCCAATTTGCTATAAAACACACGGAATGAAACGGAAACGGAAAGACAGAGTAGATAAAAAAAACTAGGTCCAAAGTCTAGATTCTGCTCATGGCATGTCAGAAACGAATAGTGAAGTTGGAAACAAAGATTTCAAACAAATTCCACAGCGTCCAGCTGTGAACCGGTGAACTGGTCAAATTTTCTCTCCTGATCCTTCACCACAGCGTCCAGCTGTGAACCCTGGTCAAATTTTCTCTCCTGATCCTTCAGATAAAGCTGCAGGTGCAATGAACTCAAACTGAAACCCCACACCGATCAGTATGAATGAATCACAGGGGCGGACACAGGCGCTGCCGTGGCTGCGGTGATGAGCCAAAGTTAATGAGTTTTTCATTTTCACTTTACCTGACATGGTTGTCACAGAACTTGGTGTTCTGAGGTCGGTTGAGCAGCACCGTCCGCGCCGTGGCATCTATGGGATCCGCCTGGGAAGTGGTGCCGGACATCTCATCATCTGCCTTGCGGTAACCGGCGGACGAGCAAGCGGGTCCTGCACCGTTGGATTGATGGGAGAGAGGCGAGGCTGAGTGAGTGAGTGAGTGAATGGGTGAGAGACAGATAGAGAGACAGGGAGAGGCAGAGAATGACAGAGAGACATAGACCGGGTTTACAGTTCAAAAGGCGACCGACGAGTACCAAAGATCTGCTCCCGCTGTGAGTGCTCAGGTCGGTGGGGTTGACTCAGTGACGTCTCGCGTTATAAACACCCCCTCCTCCCTGTTCCTTCTCCTCCCTTCTGTCTGTCACTGTTATTATGCAGGTACCGTTAAATGCGCACAGCCGCGCTTTCGGTGACGCCCACGGGACCCCCAGCGTAATAAAGGATGTGCTGAGAGATGCACAATGGCGAACAAACGCAGCTTTATGATCGCGTAAACGAACTTCCTCCACGTGCGGAGCGCAGGGGAGATTCGAGAGTGTCTCCCACCACACCACGGATCCAAAACAAAGTAGCAAAGGATGCAACGCGCGTCTAATATCCCGCAGACTCCCCCCTTGCCTCACCTTCTGCTGCTGCTACTCCCGCCTGGCTGCCTGCCTTTGTCCTCTCCAAACA